ATTTATTTACTAGAAAATTTATATTGCCGCCTATTCACACGAGGTCTATAAAAACATCATATATTAAAAAAATAAAAGAAAATAATCAAATAATAAACTAATAAAATAATAGATGAAAGGACTCAAATCAGTACAGCGATAATCTTCAGTGTTCACTATAAAGCATAAACTATTCTAGGTTGTGGCCAGAGAGTTTAGACAAACAAACAAGGGAAATTAGAAAACGTGTCCCTAGAACGTTTCCCATAATATATTTACTTCTGCTTGGTTAGGGTTTTTTTTTTTTTTTTTTTTGAAATTCTGTTATCTAACGTAGACTGTTTCCCTTTGTATTTGTTTATTCTAACAATCCTAAATGTTTTTTGAATAGAAAACACAGATGCCGGTTTAGCCGGCTGAATCTGGCTCCTCTCGTAAAGCTTCTTTTATCCATCTACAGATTGTTTGGGATGAAAAAAAACAGCGGTGGATCAACCTGGATGAACCGGAAGAGGAAGTAAGTGTGGCTGCCAGTTCAGGAATGAATATCAACGTATCAAATGGGAATTGAGATGGCATCACCCACGAGCACAACGCACGCCATACTCCAAGTCCCTTGCTCTACACACACCCCACCACCACCACCACCACCATCATCATTATCAAGGGATGGAAAAGCAGCTGCATTCCTGGGAGGGTCTTCTACTTTCTTTGCTCTTCTAGCCTGCTTGGTTTTTTCCATCCCTTCGTCCCCCATGCCTGAGGGGCTCTTGCAAAAGCCGTCTCGTGGTTTCCGGCAGTCCCAACACCAAACATAACAGACAACTATTGTTGAACTGACTGTTGTTGTTGTTGAACTGTCAGTGAGAACAATTAACCAGTGGAAGAACTTGCCTCCAGAAGTTGTGAATGCTCCAACTCTGGAGGTTTTTAAGAAGATGTTGGACAACCATTTGTCTGAAATGGTGTAGGGTTTCCTGCCAAGCAGGGGGTTGGACTAGAAGACCTCCAAGGTCCCTTCCAACTCCGTTACTCTTTTTCTATTAACTCTGTTAGGAAAGGGAAAGCTGTCAGCTAAGAGATTTGCATTTCACTGACTGTTTTTTTCCTCCATCTCCCCCTCTCCCCCTCTCTCTTTAGACCAAGCCCCCTCCCCCTCCCCCCACAGGATTTCCTCAGGCTGCTCCCTCTGGATTAGCAGGACCTCCCAATGCTTCCGTCAACATGTTCTCAAGGAGAGCAGGTATCTGATACATTTGGAAAACCTATCCTGGACCTGAGAGGTGGGGGGAGGCAGGGGGCCCATTGTCTGTTCTCTCCCTTCCTTGGCTGGCTTGTTCAGATGGCAAGCAGCAAGGGACGAGAGTATTGCGCAGAGTGCTTAAATTTGGCCCACAGAGCCAGTCTGGAAATAGCAAAGGACCGGCCCGCGTTGCCTGTGTTAGTGAAAAAGGGGGTGACACCCCCCCCACGCATGGCTCCCCCACGCCCCATTTTTGCTGCCAGAGGGCTATCAAAGCAAATTAAAAAACAAAGCAAAAGGATAAATGTTTCCCCTTTTGCATTTGAACATGCAAGAAGAGACAGGAAAGGAGAAAGAGGAAAGACAAAGAAAAAGAAGGAAAAATGGGAAGAGAGCAAGGAAGGAAAAATAAGGAAAGAGGGGAAGGAAGAAGAAATTAGAATGAAGGGAAGGAAGGAAGGGCAAATAGCACTTAGACCTATATACCGCTTCACAGTGCTTTACAGCCCTCTCTTGTAAACCGCTTAGGTTTACAGTCAGTCTCTTGCCCCCAATGATCTGGCTCCTCATTTTNGTCCCAAACCATGAAGGGCTTTATAGGTGACAGTCGGCATCTTGAATTGCATCTGGAAGCAAACTGGCAACCAATGCAACTCCTGCAGGAGAGGTGACACGAGTGCACACCGAGGCCTGTACAAAACTGCTGCATTTTGCACCAAACTTAAAGTCATAATTTGCTCTGGAATCTCCCTGGGTTGGGGGATGGGAGAGAGGAACACATTGTATTAAAAGAAAGTATAAGTGCATTTTTCCTCCCTCAGAGCGGTGGCAACTGGTTTAGATGGCTAATGGGGAAAAGCAAAAATGAAGCTCACCTTCCTGATGATAAGAACAAGTCGGTAAGAAAACCCTTCACCCTCCACTGGCATTCTTGGGCATTGTTTTCTTCCTTTTAATACTCCGTTCCCAACTGTAGCATTTGGCCTTGGGACCTTTAAAAACAAACACAATTTTATTTTTTTCCACTTTTTTAAATTTCAAATGGCACCAATTCCAGTCTCAGGGGGAAAAAACGTTCAGGATTGGCAAAGAAAGTTAGAAAAACGCCTCTACAGAGTGGCAAATGTAGACACTGGCACTGGGATTTCTATCAGAGAGACAAACATGATGCAAAACTATCCTTAACAAGAACTAGTTCATTTATTTATTAAATTTGTATGCAGCCCTTGGTGGCTTCCGATACCAGAACTAACAAAATAAAATGATTATGGGTTTAAAACATAGGGCATTAAAAGGTAAAACATTAAAATTAATATTAAAGGGGATAAAAAGAATCCATGAGTGGAATAGAACATGTTAGCAACCATTTATGCGGGCAGCTTATAGAGAATGTAGCAAAATTTTGTAGAGGGTTATTTTCCTTAGTATCTCTTCTCCCCAGGGAGATTTGTGGTTGTCTGAGTGAAATCAGGCTTAACAGCAGTGACTATGTGTGGCGGGAGCCAAAAAAGCCAATGCAATGCTATGCTGCATTAATATAGGGATACAATTAAGATCAAGGGAGGTACTAATACCACTCTGTAAAGCCTTGGTAAGGCCACCCTTGGAATACTGCATCCAGTTTTGGTCACCACACTATAAAAAAAAAGGTTGAGACTCTGGAAAGAGTGCAGAGAAGAGCAACCAGGATGATGAGGGGACTGGAGGCTCAAACATAGGATGAACGGTTGCAGGAACTGGGCATGGCTGGTCTAGGGAAGTGAAGGACCAGGGGAGATATGATAGCAGTCTTCCAATATTTGAGGGGCTGCCCCAGAGAGGAGTTGGGGGTCAAGCCGTTTTCCAAAGCACCTGAAGGCCAGACAAGGAATAATGGATGGAAACTGACCAAGGAGAGATTCAGCCTGGAAATAAGGAGAGATTTTCTGTCAGGGAGGACAATTGACCAGTGGAACAGAAGTTGCCTCCAGAGGTTGTGGGACCTTCATCACTAGAAGCTTTCAGTGGGCTGCCATTTATCAGAAATGGGGTAGGGTCTCCTGCTTGGGCAGGGGGTTGGACTAGATGACCTACAAGGTCCCTTCCAACTCTCTTAATCTGTATCTGCCTGCCAATATTAGTTGGTTGACCAATATTTGGTGGGTCTCTATGATTTCTAGGAAAAAGGTTAGGAGACTAATAAAATAATAGATGAAAGGACTCAAATCAGTACAGCGATAATCTTCAGTGTTCACTATAAAGCATAAACTATT